ATGTCACTTTCTGTTTTTTGATTCTCCACCTGTTGATGGGGTTTAGGAAAAGCTGGCCTTACAATGTTGTGTCCCTGTGGGTGTATCACTTTCCAGGATTCATGTCCATCCTTCCAGGTGATGTATTGTTGTCAGCAATTTCGGCAGGAAAGAATGTCTCAGGTGTAGGCTGTCTGGTGTGTGTCAGCATCTTTGGTGAACACAAGGTCTGAAGAGGAGGATTTGTCAGTGTCTGCAGTGTCTGTCACTGATTTATCGATGTGTGTCTTTGTGTGTGAGTGGATGTGGGTTTTTATTTTTCTGTCTCTCTGTCCGTGTGGTTGTGTCAGCGTCTCTGACAGGTGTGTAGGTTCCGCGCTGCAGTCCTGCTGACACCCTGATCTCGCTCTCCTTTCTCCTGCCGACACACCAGGCCTTCACCACAGTCGCAGCGCTGGAACAGCTCCAAGCCATGGTTGCCTTTCCTGCGGTGACGCGTACACACCTGGCCCTCTGTCAGCACGGGCTTGCAGATGCGGGACCAAAAGTGTCTGGCACAGCACAGACCCTTAGAGCAGTCACTGGATCTTAGACACGCATCTCCCTCCTGACCTGGAGATAGAAGCAGATTCGAAATTTGTTATATTCTAAGATTTCTAAAACCTCCTGTTTACTCTGTGACACAAGACTTGTTAGTGGGGACAGGTAACACACCTTTGACAGAGTTTGGTTGAAAGCCAGGGGCTGTGGGTGTTCTCTTTCCTTGATGCTCCATGGTGTTGTTGTGTTTATGCCAGCCAGTGGTGACAAAAGAGTCTGAGTTATGAATGTCATTTACCTGACAAACACCTACACAGGAATGAGATTGTTAAAAAAAACTTTGTCACAATAGACAACCAATAAGCAATTTAAACAGTAATCATTGAATTTCACCATCAATGAACAGTTATGAATCAGGTGCATCACTTATATGTCATCATATGTCTTATGTCAGGATAGAATTTCCTGCTCACCGTTGATGCAGCGATTTCCTGCGCAGCACATCGAGTCCCTTACACAGCGCTTCCTGCACTTGCGGCACGGCAGGCAAACACCACGGGCGTCATTGCAGAACTCATCACCTCCGCAGTCCTCATCATCCGTGCAACCACCTGACTGCTGCAGCAGAAAAACAAGCTTAACATAAAAGCCGTGCGTGATTTTACGCACAGCTTTGACCTGCATCCAGAGAAATGTTCCCTTACCTGCAAAGTATCCATGGGTGATCTGTGCCCCGTGCCACCGGGTGGTGAGGTGCGCGGACTTGGACTAACTGTGTCCGCACTTTTGCCCGCACCAGTTAAGGTTTTTATCGCGTTGGAGTTCTTCAGGGCTGCTCCCGCGTAAACGTCTCCACAGTATCCAAACAGAATGAGCTGCAAAGCCAAGATGTGGTGCGCTAAGGGCATCAGCATGATGCTTCTTTTCAGCTCTTTAACAGACATAAAAAGAGAAAAAATGAATCCTTTATTTTCTGCTGAATGGTGAAAAGTGACAAAGTCCAAAAGGCGCTGATATCCCAAAGTTTCCCAGACAGTTATGGCGCAACGGTCGGATGCCTCCTGACTCTAAAAAGTCTTGAGGATGATCTCTTTATACATGTAGACCTGTTTGTCTTCCCGCCCCTTGCTGTGCACAACAAAGGCGGAGGGGGTGGAATTTCAAACAGCCCTGCTGTACAGAAATAGCCATCCTTTGCACAGATCGAGGCTCCGCAGTGTTTGTGGAATGATAATGACCCGCAGAGTCTGTCTGAATACCCATCAACGATGCGCAGGAAACATTCATCCATAAACTTCACCACAAACTATTCCTCACTAAATTAATACCAGCATTTGAAATCGAATCTGTTTTGTTTAAGTACAAAACAAACGCAACTAAGCTTTGAAGTTATGTTTGGAATATTTTAATCGCCCTCTTTACAAATAAAACGTTTTTAATTGTAAATTTGGATTCTCATGCAATTTTACAGGTACTAAACGGGATTTAAAAAAAGAACCTTGCAATCCTAAAAAAAATGTATTTTCTTAGGATAAAAAAAAAAACTTTATCTCTAATTTTAATAGCAGTTTATTTATAACACGTCTTGACAAAGGTCCACATGTGGGCTTATTTGATTCTGTGTGGTTTCAGCTTCTTTGACATCCAAGAAGGGTCTACCCTTTGGCACTTTCAGGACCATAGAGATTGAAGTTACTTTGGTCCATTAACCACTCTATTTGATCCTTGTGATTTGCAAAAGGTTGCAATTATCCACCAAAGTGTGCTTGATTACACCAGCCGTGGACATCAATGTGTTTAGGATGTGAGTGGCATTAAGAGGTGTGAATAGTTTACCGAATTAATGGGGGAAGCCTTTAAGGAGTGACTGGCACATTGAGATTAAAGGAGACTCTGATCTGCTCCATGCCCTGTTCGGGCTCCAGCATCCCGATAGGCTCTTGGGGAAACTTTATTTGTAGAGGCCTATCAGGTTTGGGTGTCAAGAAAATAAAGAGATTTACTCTAATAGATTAGAAAAGAAAAGCATAAAATTGTATGGCAGTTGCATTTTAAAGGCAGATAAAGAAAAGAGAGATAAAAAAGGTAAAAAGATACCAACCTAAAAAGGTAAACCAATGTTAGAACCCATGTAACCCTGATTTTTACGCATGAGAATACTGCTTCTCAATTTTTTGGTTATGATTCTGGTTTGATGGGTGTAAATAAAAATGTTTTCAGCAAAAGGCAAATTAAAACGTTTTTATTATCCCAGCTGATCTGCTCTTGAACGTCATCTGCTGGTCACTCTTGATACAAACATGTGTGAGATGGGGTTGAGTGTTTGTGAGGAGGCATGATCCGACCTTGGACATCACACAAATGCACAGCACTTTGCGGGTTTGAATTGATGCATATCTTTTGAAGTGGGCCTTTTTTCCCTCACCTTACTAAATGTCAGAGCAGGTAAGGTGGAGGTCCTTTGATGCACGTAGCTCTCCTTTGATCTCTTAGAAGTGTCACCCTGTTGTTATGGCTAAAGCCAATCCACTGTCCCTGCTCTAAACGGATTTCTGTTGTGCGAATAACAAAGAGCTGAATCATCTCAATTTACTTCTAAGTGGATGTAATTAACTCTAGGACGGATTATTACAGTTCAGAGAAGACCCGGGGTCTTTCTCTGGGAGATTTTCTGGGAGACAAGGCGCTCCCTCCTGCGGTAGCTCGGGTGAACTGCAAGGATAAAATTTAACTACTTTCCTTCACTTTCAAAATGTGTTATATAACACATTTAGAACAATTGTCCCAAGTGTTTTGTGGAGAATATTCTCTAAATTATAAAGAGCAATAAAAAATAAAATAAAACATATTTTAGCAAGTATATATTAAGGTGCTGATTTAAAGTAATTGTATATTGTAGTCAGGTGGCATTATGAGTCTGCACATTAGTTTCAACAAGGCTTTTGGAATAATTTAGTAGAGGAGTTGTTACTACAAAAATAACTTGTTTTGTTTTTGCTTTTAAAACAGAGGTGATCGGCAGCATTGCCCAGGATAACTTTTCTCAAATCAATAAGTTGTCTCCATTTGCTTGACTTATAGGGCATCCTTAGACTTAGACTACAACCTGTACTGGTGTCCCACTTGTATCCAATCCATCCATGCATCCATCATCTTTATTTCTTATGCCTGCCAATAAAAATGTGTCAGAACGGACACCTCGACTGGTCTGCAGCAATGCAACCTCAAAGCATAACATTTAAAATGTCTTGAAATTTGGATTCATTTTAAACTCTCTGGAATTACCCTGACCCAGTCATCAAGACATCACAGATAAGGTGCTATTAAACCCCCATCAGATTCCTCTCTTTATCCATTTTCCTTGCTTGTTATGCATCATCTACATCTACAAAAAGATTAATATGCATCATTAGTAAAAGATCTCCACATTATCACTGGAACTCATTTCTTTGTGATGATATCATGCCCCAGCAGTGAGGACAAAAATAACAGACAAACGTGACTCAAATGTATTCTTTTTTTACTCTCTATTTTTTTTAAAAAGTCTTACACGTGGCACTCTGAAAGTAAATACCAGCAAAAAGAAGAAAAAAAAACAGCAAAACACAAGGCTGATACTCTGTAACATAGCAGAAGGCTTTTTAGAAGAAAAAAAAAACATTGAATTGGAAAGAGGTGAAAAACATAAGGCATTGTGACAAACAAACAACCAAAGAGTAGAGTACATAAAACATATGCACACAATTTAGATTTCCATTCTATTCTGTTTTCTATCATTTAAGGTGAAACTTAGTAAATGTCTTTGAATTCCTTTGGGTAAGTTTGATATTTGATTTTCTAATAAACTACAAACTTAGAGTTAAATTTACATATCCTATGTTAACTGAGAATTATCCCTACCCTCTGATTATGAAGATTTCTTAGCTGTGAGTGGTTATGGAAGGACCCTTTGAATCACCATTATTGCTCATTGGTGTTTTATATCAGGCCATAAGTGGTTGATTTCTTCAGATCACAGAAAAATAGAAAACAATGTCATTGCAGCTGAGTCTGGTTAACATTTATTTTCTTCAGTTTCTTTATTAAATTTATCTTATCCTGAAGAGTACATTTCTTGAATCTATCTTCATTGATCCTTCAATTAGTTTCTCCTTTTTAGGTACTAAGCAGTTTATTATAACAATGGTAAAATGCAGCAGTTAAAGATAACATATGGTTCTGAGGTGTTTATTTGTTCATGCAGCATTTCAAAGGTCATGTGATGCTTATTTTTTATGCCGTTGACTTAAGGCACTTACATTCTGTTTGACTTTATTTTCAGATTTTGAACTGTGACAGGTGTAGCATTTCAGGTGAACTTTGAATTGTAATTAAAAATGAGTCTTTATAAAAGAAGTATTCCTTCTTTTCTTCGGCCGTCTGTGTCAAATAAATACGTAAACCAAAATGTTTAAGCCTCAGATGGAGATGAGTCAAAAAAAAAAAAAAAAAAAAACTAAAAAAAAAATTCTTCATCTTTTGCAGTAGAATAATCTTATAATTGAAAATGTAAGAAAATCCAACATTTAATTTGGTCAGTAAAAACTACATAAAGAAGTAGTTGTTTAAAAAAATCCTGGTTGCACCATCGTTGGTATTTCTATAAACCTTTTAAAACTAAATTAATGGAAGCATTTTCTTAAAACTCTTCTGTTGTTGAAGCTGATTATGGTTTCCAGGAAATACTAAACCAGAAGTTTTTGGTGTGTGTAAAGATATGGCATAAATTCCCACTAGTAAAGATGGGGACTCCATGTTTACCTGCCACAGTAAAAAGTTGGCAGGGAAGTGAGAGATCGCCACCTCATGGACTTTAGGTAATATTTACTTTGGCTTTAAGATCCAGCAATACATCAACAAGGATTATTGGTAGGTTAGATTTGCAACAGCTGATACATGGAAAGCTTATTATACCCACTGTCAATATAGTGGAGGATCTGTGATGTAGTTGGACTGTTCCATTTCTAGAGCGAACAGAACGATTTTATATGAATTCCTGCATCTTTGTCGTGCCAGGATATTTAAATGAACTCCAGAGGTGCACTGAGACGGGAACTTGGAAAATTTTCACCAGGCAAAATCAAGTTTCATCCATGGCTAACACAAAGTCCAGGCTTGAATCCTATGAAAACCTATGAAGTTAGCTAAAGAATTAAAAGCATAAGATAGGGCATAAAGACTGTAGACAACCAGGACATAGTGTGCAAAGAGGATTGGTCACAGGAGAATCTCTTTACAAGTCTATATTCTAGTAAATAAATTAAATCAAATTAAAGGTTGGATTTTTTTTATTGGTAATTCTGAGACTATGGTGAATTTTTTTAAGGCTTTTTAAATATCTTTACCTTGTGTCTGCAAATGTATCTGCATTTATATTGTGGAAGCCACCTAAACAGAGTTATAAAGCTGGTTCTCAGAGAGAGTTTGGTAACACCTGACTCTAACAATGAGAGATAGTCAAATTACAATAATTGGAAGTTTAAAATACCATCAAGACCTTCACTTAAATTTGAAAACTTACAAGTCTCCATTTCTCTAAATAATGACAGCAATTACATTACAACATAATCTGGCACTAAAAAAAAAAAAAAAATAGAAAATTACAATACCAAAACAATAACCAGGACTATCATCTCAACATCGCTGTTCATAATTCACCAACAGCACCAAAGACACTGAAACCAGGTTCACAGTTATTTCAGAGCTGTACAAGAGCATACAGGAAACATCTGGGTTTGGTGGCAGGCCACAGGGCCGAAAAAGACAAAAAAAAAAAAAAAAAAAAAACAGAATGTAGCTGTGATAGTATGAAAAAAACTAAAATAAAGGATTGACTCAAAATAAAGTGTAAAACAGACTTTTCAGTTAATGGTCTTAAGTGCATAATGACACACTGTTCCATGGAGATACTAGCCAAGCTGTCATATGTGCAGGTGTGTGATCAACAAGCTTTAAGCGGGGCACTTAGAGTCACATCTCTTCACTGATGCACACTTTTTGTGCTTTTCAAGGAATATAAATCTCATAGGAGGTGCACTATGTATTTCATTTCTAAGGGTTGTGTTAATGTATGACAATGTAACTTGTATGTTTAAACACTATGTGCCACACATAGCATTGTGCTAGGCAGCTATGCTAAATAAGAAGAGAATCTTTGACATTCAAGTTAGTCTTGAGCACTTGATCACTGGAAACTAGAGTGTGTACATCTGTGGAAAGTATCATAGATTGTAACAAGTAGCTGCATGTCAAAAAAACAGGCAGCAATTGCACTAACATTGTAAGCTATCCCAAAGCCCTGCAAATAGATTTGCAGGGATACAGACTTTGTAAAGAAAATCGACTAGAAGACTGCTCCATTTCTGAGCGACCCTCCATGTTTCCCACTGTCCTATTATCCCTAGATTTCAAACTTACATAAGTTATTACACATTTATACATCCACTAAACACCTTCCCCTGTTACAGGGGAAAAAACTGGCTCCAGTATCAGCTTATGCTGTACGTATGTTAATGTCAAAGAATCCCTGTGCTTTCTTTACCTATATAATTGAGTAAAAGACAACACTGAGGAAGTGCTACAGCAGTCCCATTATAAATGCTTTATCCAGAGCCACAGTGAAAAAAAGGCATATCGGTGACCCAGAGGGTTTGCCATCCATCACTATTTCCATATCTCCTCTTTCATTTTTAATGCATTATTTGAACAAACACCGAGGTCCTCAAAGATGGCTTCCAAGCCAATAAAAGCCAGCAAAAGAAAAGTTGCTTTTGGTTTTTAGTGGCTAGAGGCAAATTTCAAAAGTCGACATCCCAGCCAGAGTTATCGTCAGGAGGCGGGTCCTCATTGTCCTCAGGGAAGTTGTCGAAGTTACTCGTGTCGACTGCTGATGTGACCTTAATGGGACAGATAGAAAATAACAATAAAATTTAAAACACACTCAAGGTATTTTGTGAATATGATGCTATTTGAGAGGACATGTGAGCACAACTAAGAGAAATTTTTTAATGAGAATGAATTTCAGCAGTTCACTCACATTAGGGATTATAGGAGGTGTTAATGTCCCCTTTTTTAAACCCTCCCAATTAAAGCCCTCAAACCATCTGAAAGAATAACAGCAAGAAGTTAATATAACACAGAAACACAAAACTCAAAAAAGGGAAGTTCTCTATGGAAGTTTGCTCACTTGTGCTTTTGGATATCTTTGACACCATTTTTTAAGTTTCCAAGTCTTTCACAAGGATTATCCCTAAAGGGGAAAAATGGCAAGATTCAGCAAATAATAAAATGCACAAACAATAATGGTTGGAAGTAATGACTCTTACCTGCATAGCTTTTTGATAAGGTTGGCAGCATTTTTGGTGATTTTCTTTGGAAATTCAATCATATCAATGCCTCTCAGGATGATGTTGTAGGTTTTCATTGGATCGGGGCCAGAGAAAGGAGGGCTATATAAAAGAGGCCAATATAAGTTTTGGGCAAATAGGTGTGTATCACAACAAACAATTCGAGATGCATCTGTCAAATATTAATAATAGGGTTTTAATTAATAATTTCTAACAAATGCAGCATTGTAATTAATATTCAGTAAACCTAAATATTGCAATAGACAAGGCTTGTTTTTCATACCAAAAGCACATTTTGAAAATAATATATAAGCAGGTATTAAACTTACATTTTATTAAACCTAAATTCTGTATCATCTATGTTTTTATTAGCTTGATGTAATAATCCAATCCCAAAATTGAATATTTCTGTATGTTGCACCAGGAAATGGTAAACAAAGACATATTATCTGGTGAGAGGGTTGAGCAGATTTTTAGTTTGCCCGATTAGTCTTCTTTGACAAGGCACCAGGTCTGGCTAACCTGAATACCCCTCAGCAAACTTCTTTCAGTGTAAAGAAGGCTAAATGGTGCATATTTTATGTCCCAGTGTGGGGTTTAAAAGCATTATCTAGGTAATACACAGGAAGTCTACTATTTGCAGTCAATAATGCAAATTTACTAACCGTGCTGTTAATATAAGTTGCTACAGAGAGTTGAAAGTATTGAACTATATTGATTTAATTTTTCCATAGCAACTCCTCTCTTGTGTACTTGGAGTGTTTTGCAACATTTCAATTAAGGTTTTTAAAGAGAAGTCAAAATCAGCTAAAGTTGTTATTAGCTTTACAAAATAGGTGACTTTTCTTTTTATGAACAGACAAACAGCTCCAGGCTGTTATGTACCTGCCGGTCAACAGCTCAAACATGAGGATTCCAAGAGACCAGTAGTCGGCTGAGATGTCATGGCCTTTATTTAGAATGATCTCTGGTGCTACATACTCCGGTGTCCCACAGAAGGTCCAGGTCTTCTTTCCAAATCCGATCTTTTTGGCAAAGCCAAAGTCCACCTGATAAGAAACGGAAAACGCTGTCAATTGCAATTCTTTCAACATCTAAAGTGCTGTGAAAATTTTTTTGAGTAAATCACACATTTATTGCAAGATACCACAATGCAGCTGTTTGCTGTTTTTCAAATACTGAAAGAAACCAGTTAGGTGTTTTAATTCATAAAGCAGTTTCTTTATGAGGAGATAGGAAAAGGTGGTGGAAACATTACATATCAATGAAATCTACATTTCATCATATATTATTCTTTAATTTGCAGAGCCTTTACTGGTGGGTTCATATTTCTTTTTAAATTTAAAAACGAAAATCTAATTTTTTACTTTTGATATGATTTACTCAAATAAATAAAAAGAGAAATTGTATCATTGGTAGGTATTACATACTGATTTCTTACCAGTTTGGCATAACCCCTGTGGTCCAATATAAGATTCTCTGGTTTCAGGTCTCTGTAGATAATACCTTTGGAATGCAGATAAGCAAAGGCTTCCACCACACAAGCTGTGTAAAACCTGGTGGTCGAGTCCTCAAAAGATCCCCTAAATACACAACAGAAAAATAGAGCTTAATGTTGATCAGCTTGAGACATTTTGACTCAGACAGCATCAAAAAAGGGTTTGCAGACAAATTTCACGGTGGCACAGTGAAATAATCAAAGGCCTTGAAAAAACAATTGCATTGCATTTCATTCTGTCTCATTAATCAATGATGCAACCAAACTAATTAGATCTGGTGTAAAAGGTCCTACCGGTCTCGAAGTATGGTCCATAGTTCGCCTCCTAAACATGCTTCCATCAACATGTAGAGGTATTTGCTGTCTTTAAATGTCCTATACAGTCTAGAAAAAAAACCCAAAAACAATACAGTTTATCTCTAACAGCTAAGAAATACAGAAACATGAAATAGTATCTAACTGGGGAATAGCAAAAGCTTACTGCTGTTGTGAAAGTTTAACCTAAAATCAATGGATAAAAGAACATTTCCTGAATTTTTAAAGAGCTGTTTTATTATATGGAGTAAGTGGGTATGGAACCATCCATGGGTCGCACAGCTCTGCTGACACGACTCCTTTGAAAAGTATTCTGAAGATGGAGATGCACCGATTCCCAGCTTCATGATTTCTTTGGTTACTTATATGTTCCAGATGCATCATTCTAACTGCAGTTAATTTAGACATTCACCAAATGAAAACCTCAATAGCAAAGTCATGCTTTGTGAGTTAAAATAGTAAAATCTTTATACTCAAACCATTGGATATCTGTCTGCAAGTTAACAAAGAATTAAAACATGAGCATTTTATGATCTGCATTGCTTTTAAAAAGGTCGTTCAGGGTATATACCTGACAATGAAGTCAGAGTGGGCCTCTTGCATTATGAGCTTCTCAGATCGAATGTGCTCCTGCTGTCTTGTGTCAACAATGTGTCGCTTCTTCAAGATCTTCATGGCAAAGGTCTTGTTCTCGTCACTCTTAAGCTGAACCTGCGGCCAAAAGAATTGCATAATGGTCTATGTGTTTGGATCTGTAGAGCTTGCCCGACAGCTTTAAAGATAATCATTATGGATCTTAATTCTTTATGTTAATGTTACTGTTTCATACCAGCTCAACGCGTCCAAAGCCACCGACTCCCAGAGTGTCTATGATGTTGAAGTCAGCTAAGTTGAGACTGAAGAAAAATGCATTCTCTGCCTCATACCTGTTGAACCAAAAAGAAAGGGAGAAAAGAAAACATGGGAGCAGGTTTAGAGAAGAGTTGAAGGATGAAAGAACATATAATCCTCTCTCAACAACCTGAGGAAAAATATCCGTTTCCCTCTGAGCTCATTTGTTTGCAAATCTTAGGGGATTAGAATCACAGTAATCTATCAAGGATGTTATTAAGGATGTCGAGTGGATAATCACTAACACATGAACAGGATGTGTTTGACTCTAGTCTTCTGGCAAATCGCTTCAACAATTTGAACACAGACTAAGTGTCCCCAGCCTGTCCCCATTCCCAACAGGAAAGAGCTAGCTGAAAAATGTGTCGCACAAGCCGCTCACTTCTCAGTTAGCACTGGAGACATGCATTGGCTCATGCTCTGAACATCAAGTATGCCACTGATGACCCGAACATGCTGCCAGGAGAGATTGTTTCCACGTGTCCGAGCCTTATCCCCCAAATGCATGCTGTCTTCTTGGGCTATTGTTTGATCCGGACAGAGTATCATCAGCTCAGTTTCTGGATCAGTGAGCATAGGATAGATCAGAGATTCAACAGGCCTCCTGGGTCACTCAGAGCATAGTATCGCTTCAGCGTCGTTTCCTTTTTTTTTTTTTTTTTTTACCACAAATATAGATCCGTCAGCAGTGTATTTGATGGGCTTTGAAAGTACCCACTAGAAGGATTTCCTTGGATTACTCAAGAAAATCCTTAATGGAGCAATAGAGGTAACTATAGTGTTTACTTAAAAGTAACTTTAATACAAGGAGGTATTTAAAAATGTTGTACATTGTGGTTGCTCAAATTGGCAGGTTACTAAACATTAAGCTTCTCAGAAAACATACCAGGTTACCAGGAGACTCAGGTTTTATTTATGTCTATGTCGGCACTATGACATTCCTATGTAATCCTTCTATCCCAAGCCACCCAACCCCATCTAGGGTTTCCCAGATAGTAGTGCAATTCAAAATAGTAATTTCAGTGGAGAGAAAAATAAGTGTAAAGTCTTATTAATTTTGAATTATTTTGAACATGTTATAAGCTCAAATGTTAATTTCTTTGTTGACATATTATTTTAAAGCTCCATCCAATGTTGTAAAATTCAAACTTTATTGAATAGCATCTAAAGCACTGCTGCAACCCTGAAGTGTGCCATTGTTTTTGCTTGTCTTAACATACACTATATTGCCAAAAGTATTTGCTCACCCATCCAAATTATTGGAATCAGGTGTTCCAATCACTTCCATGGCCACAGGTGTATAAATTCAAGCACCTAGGCATGCAGACTGTTTTTACAAACATTTGTGAAAGAATGGGTCGCTCTCAGGAGCTCAGTGAATTCCAGCGTGGAACTGTGATAGGATGCCACCTGTGCAACAAATCCAGTCGTGAAATTTCCTCGCTCCTAAATATTCCACAGTCAACTGTCAGCTGTATTATAAGAAAATGGAAGTGTTTGGGAACGACAGCAACTCAGCCACGAAGTGGTAGGCCACGTAAACTGACGGAGCGGGGTCAGCGGATGCTGACGCGCATAGTGCGAAGAGGTCGCCAACTTTCTGCAGAGTCAATCACTACAGACCTCCAAACTTCATGTGGCCTTCAGATTAGCTCAAGAACAGTGCGCAGAGAGCTTCATGGAATGGGTTTCCATGGTCGAGCAGCTGCATCCAAGCCATACATCACCAAGTGCAATGCAAAGCGTCGGATGCGGTGGTGTAAAGCACGCCGCCACTGGACTCTAGAGCAGTGGAGACGCGTTCTCTGGAGTGACGAATCGCGCTTCTCCATCTGGCAATCTGATGGACGGGTCTGGGTTTGGCGGTTGCCAGGAGAACGGTACTTGTCTGACTGCATTGTGCCAAGTGTAAAGTTTGGTGGAGGGGGGATTATGGTGTGAGGTTGTTTTTCAGGAGCTGGGCTTGGCCCCTTAGTTCCAGTGAAAGGAACTCTGAATGCTTCAGCATACCAAGACATTTTGGACAATTCCATGCTCCCAACTTTGTGGGAACAGTTTGGAGCTGGCCCCTTCCTCTTCCAACATGACTGTGCACCAGTGCACAAAGCAAGGTCCATAAAGACATGGATGACAGAGTCTGGTGTGGATGAACTTGACTGGCCTGCACAGAGTCCTGACCTCAACCCGATAGAACACCTTTGGGATGAATTAGAGCGGAGACTGAGAGCCAGGCCTTCTCGTCCAACATCAGTGTGCGACCTCACAAATGCGCTTCTGGAAGAATGGTCAAAAATTCCCATAAACACACTCCTAAACCTTGTGGACAGCCTTCCCAGAAGAGTTGAAGCTGTTCTAGCTGCAAAGGGTGGACCGACGTCATATTGAACCCTATGGATTAGGAACGGGATGTCACTTAAGCTCATATATGAGTCAAGGCAGGTGAGCAAATACTTTTGGCAATATAGTGTATATATGTTAAGGTGAGAGCAAGTGCTATGTTGCCTCACATGCAGCAACATGCCAGTTTGCAGTTAAGGGGTTAGGTCTGTCCAGACAACGCTGCCAAAGGGGTGGTTTTTAACTTTTCTACTCTTGGAGCAGGTTTTTCAGTGTAGTGAGTTTTCCAGCCACTTTGCCTGAACAGAAACCTTTATCTGACAGAGAAGTTTGTCTGATATATTCACACCGGGTTCATCCAAATGGGGCCTAAGTGTAAGTTATTAGTATGTTTGTCACACTTGTTGGATAGGCTTATTGAGAAGTTCAGATTTGGATATTATTTCAGAAATTAAGCCCTCGTAAAAAAAAAACAAAAACAAAAAAACTCCCAAAATATATCCCTTATACTTATTAAGCTTTCATAAAACATAGAAAAATCAAATAAATTAAAACATAGTAAAATCAAATGAATACAATTGGAATCCCTTTTACGATTTCTTTATGGTAAAAGTGATGTAAAACCATATAACATTTTCTTCTGCTTTTCACCTATCCACTACTTTATAGGGATCTATTACCTAAAATATGAATATAACATGAAAAAATAAAAGGGGTCTTAGGTTGGGTTTAAGTATTTTGAATTAAAAAAAATTTATGTTCCTTAAGCTAAAAGGGAATTAGGAATCAAGAGATTATTTAAAATGATCAGTAATTGCATTATTTGTCCAGCAGATGGCAGCAGATAGTACACAATTTTTATTGCAGAGAAAAGGAAACTCAAAGCTTTACCATGAAAATAAATACAATAATGTATTTACAAAAAAATCTTCTGGTATTTTTGTGTATCTGTATTTTATTTCCCAGAATTTGACTAATTGATAATCTTGCACTCTGCCTGTCTATAAACAAAAGGCCATAAAACCATAAAAGGGAAAAAAATATCACATTGGAGTTTGTAGTGCAAAATTATGACATGATATAGGTTCAAAACATAAAAAAATGTGTTTTCTTCTGCTGAAATCACAGATCCATCTAACATTTTACTTTGTCTTTAAATCTATACAAACATCTAGAGAAGTAGAGAGAATAAAAAACACAAACACGAAGCTTGGTGTAATTTAGATGCACAAAGTCAACTATCACACAGCTAAAACTACATATTACTAAATAATGTTACTGGGAAAATTGCTTACTAGGACTGTAATACAAAGAGGTTTCATCACAGGTCAAGTGGGACCCAAGAGGGAGATAATCAGTATCACTGAATAGATGAGGTCATAAAGATGATGTAACCCCCATGGTAAGTGTGTGAAAGGATTTTTATGTTTAATGTGTGTGTTTTGGTGTGCGTTGCCCATTATCCTCTGTTACTTTGCTCTTGGTCTTTATGGCCAGCCCTTATGTGGAACAAAGAGCAGCAAGAAAGCAGTCTAGACCTTAAAGCTTAAATGTCAGCTTTATTTCAAAGTGTATACCGCTCACTTAACTCTGTTTTTAAAATGAACAGAGATAGCGCTGAGTCATTTGGTGTCACATATGCAGTGTAAAGGTATTTAAAAAACTTCCTCTGCCCCCATTGCAACAGCAAACTAATTTAATTAGGAGTTAATGCAATAGACCAACACAAAGAATACGATAATTGAGAAATGTAGGGAAAATTATACAAATAATACTAATACAATGATACAAATAAGTGTGTTTAGTGTATGCATTGAGTCTCCCTCAGTTTTTACTTTGTAGAAGCAAACTGTGCTGCAGTAACAGCTGCAAGCCTGTTAAGGAGTAGCTTTGGTCATGTAGATTTTGTAATGTAAACTAGCCAAGGCTCAATATAAAAGCCTATCAGAGATCCTAATTGGACTTATGAGAATTCTGAATTAATGATTTCATTTCAGAAAGAAAAAAAATGTTTGTGTATCATATAACATTGACAAAGTCCAACAAAAGAAGTGATAGCTTCATAGAATATGCACAGATTTTCTAACCTGACAACAGCCAGATGCATGTCTCGCTCCGCCTAGCTCCACTCACATACATCTGGGAACCCGCCATAGGAATTGCCTTTACTGAAGGCTGGGCCTTATCAAAACTCCTTGCATATGATTGGATAAGCCACTTGTCTGTCATCTTTATTGACGTGCTATTTCAACCACTCACACCGAAGCTAACCCGTGGCGCTGTGAGAGGAGGAGCCATTTGGTAGATCGAGCTCTTGCCAAATCCGGTCGGGAGAAGGGCGAAAACATCGTTTCCACCAACAAAAGCCTTCAAAGCCGTTCTCTGATGTTCTTTTAATGAAACAATATCAGATAGATTGGACAACACAGAAGAAATAGCAGCATCAGTGCTAACGCTTGCTTCCTCAACACGAGCCGCCATTGTTGTTGGAATCTCACGGTCGCTTCTCCACTCCAGGACACACCCACCCTGCATCCTGATTGGACAGACCATAAATTCGGTTGGGGAAATCACTTTCAATGAGCGGGTTCCCAGATGTATGTGAGTGGAGCTAGGCGGAGCGAGACATGCATCTGGCTGTTGTCAGGTTACAGATTTTCCCCTTGCCAAGATAAACCAGTTTTTGTGCATGTAGAAATAACATCATACAGTCTTCCTTTACTTTGTGAACACATAGCTTCTCACACTAAAAGCAGAATGAGTTCAATCAAAAACAGTATCAGCATGGAGCACACAGCAGGGAGGTATTCTTTGAAAAAAAGACTTGTCACCCTCACAGAAAGCAGATGTACAGTACTGCTGAAATGTGCCGATTCTCTGTGACCAATTAGAGGTAGTTTCCTTCGCTGTGGGACCTAGAATCGGGCAGCCTCACAAAGACACAAATGCGCACTGCTGGGGAGGGAGCGCCAGCAAGACGTGAGACGGCACGTGGCGGGGAGAACAGCCTTAATCAGGGTAAAACCTGCTTTGATGTGACAGATCTGAGGGAGGAGAGGGAGCAACTGATTCTATTTCAGGGTGTGCTTCTGTAAGAAAACTCATAATACAAATCATTTCAAAGAACGGTATGGTATTGATTTGCATTGAAACAAGCTTGCTCCCATAAAGAGTGAGGGATGGGAAAAATTGGGTCAGGAAAGTGCAATACAAGGTTTCTGTTAAGTATATCTGTATTCAACCTTTATTATCCATATTTTAGAAATGCCTAAAATTTTTGTATTTTGCTTTACCGAAATGACAACTAGGCCTCAGAAGAAGAAAATGTGCTCTAATTCTCTTACAACTAATCTCAGGGCAAAACGTGCTGTGAAACAGAAGATCAACCTCTGCCCTCTCATACATCTAATCCAGCAACTAACTCTATTATTTCCTACTCACTTTGTTTAGCTAACACCACTTCACTCACTCTGAACCCCTAATTATTCCCATAGCATAATGTGAGTGGTGTTGCTTCACTTCATCTGCCACAGGGTGTCTTGAATCTCTGTACAATGACAGCTCAAGACCGTCTAAGGTAGGGGTGCTTAAGTTCAGACCTCAAGAGCTACTCTCCTGCAACATTTTGATGCACCCCATTTTTAACACACCTGAATCAAATGATTGCCTCGTTACCATGCCTCTGCTGGGCTAAATGAGGGGATTGAGTCTTTCAATTCAGGTGTGTTAGAGAAGAGCTGCATCTAAGGATTTGTTCACACTGCAGGCCTTGATGCTCAATTCCGATTTTTTTGTGAAATTTTTGCATTGCTGTTCACATTTACAAATATATGCGACTTTTATGTGATCTCCTGTGTGAACTGCAGGCATACAACGAAAGTGTCCTGCATGCGCAGTAGAGGATGCCATGACATCACAGGCCAGCATTGTTTGTGTTTATGGAAGTAAACATGAATGCTAGTGCCAGAGCGCATCTAGCGATCTTTCCCAAACATAAAAACGCCATCTTTTAAAGATGGTTAAACATAAATACTGATCTCCACATCCTTGTCCGCCACGGTTGTTGTTTTTCTTGCCGCTTCGCAAGACCCAGAATAGTGACCATTGTTGGGTATTAATGGCGTTCAGGTCGGATTATTGCAACCTGTCTGTTCAGACACAGGTCGCATTTGAAAAGATCAGATTTATATCGAATACAAGACCACACAGCCAAGTGGCCTGGGTCGCATTGGAAAAAATCGGATTTGTGTTACAGGATGGTAGCTTTTTAGGACTGGACTTGAGGACCCCTGGTGTAGGGATTCTAAAGAGAAATGTGCCGCTAAGTGTCGAAAAGTTGAGTCTCAGTTGAAGAACATGTGTCTTTAACAGGATAATGATCCAAATCACATAGCTAAAAACTCCCAAGGATGACTAAGAAGAAAACATTGAAATATTTTGAAGTGGCCCTCTATGAACTCTGGGCTAAATGTTATCAAGCTTCTTTGGAAGGAGCTGAAACATGTCATCTGGAAAAGGCAGGCTTCAAACCTTGAGCAGTTTATTTAGTTGAGCAGTGGACCAGAATACCCGCTGAGGTGCAAAAGTTTCCTTTACAATTAAAGCAGTGGTCTCCAACCCTGGTCCTCAAGATCTACTGTCCTACAGATTTTAGATGCATCCCTGCTTCAACACAGCTGAATCAAATGAATGGCTTGAAAAGGTAATCAATCATTTGATTCAGCTGTGTTGAAGCAGGGATGCATCTAAAATCTGTAGGACAGTAGATCTTGAGGACCAGGGTTGGAGACCACTGAATTAAAGGAATAGTTGTTTGTTTACAGTGATTGAGTCTAAAGGTTGAGCAACAAATTATTAATTTCAGAGTAACATAATTTTTGTCCAGGCCTTGTTTCATGGGTTCATCGATCCATCCATTTTCAAGCACGCTTAATCCCAAGTGGGGGTGCTGGTGCCTATCTCCAGCTGGGTACACCCTGGACAGGTTGCCAGTCCATCGCAGGGTATGTTTTCATGGGTTAATATTTTAAAGTGATACTGTTTAAGCATAATATAAGAGCAATGTTGTCTTTTATTTAATATTCTAGTCAGATTAAATTTTTCCATGACCATCCTTTTCTTTTATTTAACGCGGGGCAGTCACTATTTTGTCCATGAGTGGCATTTAGTGTCTAGCCAATACATCAAAATTCCATCAAAAAATGTATTTTGGTGTCAGGCAGAATTCTCCTGGAAATTTCTAATCTGATTTAGAGATTAAATTAAACAGAGTAAAGTGGTTTGATTTCTAAAATCCCTAAACATTAGAAAAGTATGTCTTAAAATATCTTGACTAGCTATTTACAGGATCAAAGCTGATAAAATCTAAGACATCGTTACAAAAATTTAGATGAAAATCATAATTAAATGTAAACAGATAATAATACAGTCACAAGCATTTAGATAAATATTTCGGATGCTTGCTGAGTAGGGCTTCGATCATTTTCATTATTGTTGCAGTTAAACCTTATCTTGTTTCTATAATAAAAGTAAATACATAATAACTTAAAGAAATATATCCTGTTTTTTTTTTAAATCCCTTCTTGTATTGTTACTCAACATGGTGGGAAGCACAATTATAAAAAGGTCAACCTTAGTTTGAAATCCTTAGAGAGTCTTTATTAAATGAAACTTAGATTTGAAATAAACACATGAAAGACATTAACAGCAGTGTGACACAAACAGCTTATTGGTGAATAATGTCATACAGTATACATTTTTCTAATATCAATTTCTGATATTTCACTTACTTGGCTTTGGCGTCAGCATCCTCATGGCCTTTATTGGAAACATCCTCTAAACCTCCAATCAAGTGCTTGAATGAACTGAAAAATGAATAAGAAACGTTCAAATAATTGGCAAAACTTTATGAATATCTGACACTGTCACAATCTATTCAAGTTTAATTATTATGTAAAATTCCCTTTAACTGCACATAATATTTCCATAGTTTCAGGCAACAGGGAACAGTAAGGTAGAGTTTGTATACTACTAGCTATCCAATAGCAGTGAATGATTACACTGCTGTAAAAAAGCACTGCCAGTTACTATTAAAAATTCATCAGCCTGCTTTTAGTGACAATCTTCTAAAAGAATCACAGCAGAGGAGGCTTATCTGTGCCAAGGAGGTAAGAAAAAAAGGGACTGCAGATGGTAAGTCAGTGGGAAGCTCAAGATAAAACAATAAAGAGCACATAGATTTTTGACAGATTAAATCTTAAATTTAAATAAACCCTATGGTTCCGAATGACATGAAAAACTACTGACATTTTAGAAATTATCATGAGGTTTAAGATTCTAGTAGTTTGTCATTTTATCCTGTTTATTAAGAATAAATATGTAATACGACTATAAGAAATGAGATGGTATTATTTCAATATGTTATAACAATAAATACAGCAGGAGTTTTAACTTAGTACATAGAAAAAATTATTTCCTCTGTAATAAAATCCGAAAGACTTGCAACTTCAAAAAGATATGCGTTATATACAGTACAGTATCACTGGTGTTTTTTTCTTTTTCTTTAGATCATCATTTAAGATCACTGTAAAATAGCATCTAATGGAGGAATAAAAAAAAAAAAACCTGTTTGAGCCGTCAATAAAAATAACCAGACGTTGGAATCTTCTCCTGTTAAGACAGAACCCTATGAGTCTAAAAGAAAATGTTGTTTCAGTGTCGGGCTGATGAAGGTACAACGTGCAGGGAGTCAGCGGTTCCCTGCTACTTGTCTTTATTATGTCTCTCTTTTCTACAGCTGTTATCCTTGTCTAACACTTAAGCTGTGCTGCTTTCATTTTAAAGCATCCATGGGTGTGCTGAAAATGAATAAAAGCGTGCAGAATAACAAAGATTGAAAAACAATTATCCTGCACCAAAACCGGCCTAGCTGGGTGACACAGGCATTAGTCTGGCTTTGTGAGCTGTGAAAGCTGTGCTGCTTGTGTGACAGGCAGCAGTAATCACTCATGCTGGATGACTCTCTTACTATGCGCCTGTGTTCAGAGGCCAGATGGACCACACCAACTTACTCTGCTTTTACTTAAAGGAAATAAATGTAAAAAAAAAAAATTTGTTTTTATGTGTAGGAGAAATAAGACTAAAAATAACACACACACATACACATATATATATATATACACACACATATATATATATATATATATATATATATATATATATATATATGTATATATATGTATATATAAGTCTGTACGACTTTCAGTTTTTGAACTTAAAGAGATCATTTAATTAAACTGGCAATGTATTTTAAAAAATCTCTCTCAAAATGTAAGAATTTTGCTTTCCTTTTTTTTAACTTTCAAATACAAAACAATGACATCTCGATAGTATTGTTATAAATACAGGTATAGAGGGGGTCTCTACGCAGGACAGTGACCTTAGTGGAAGAATGAAGCAGAATTAATAAGCTAACCAACAGTGCAAAAGAGAATAAGGATTATTACTCACTCTCGATCGATAACCAAACAGGTGACTGCTTCTGCTGCAAGGACACTGGCTGTTCTGATGTCCTCCCTAAAGAAAATAAAATACAGGAAGAAAATTTAGCATTTTTGAACCAGCATTTCAAACAGCAAGTCAATTTACTATATAGTTAAATAATGTTTATCTAAGCTAACTGGTGGTCAGTAAAAGAATAATTTCCGACAATCAACACACATCCTCGCAGGAGGGGCATTACTCTTTATCGTATGTGACACTGATTTCATCTTCTTCTTCAGAAGAGTCGCCCCAGTCACATGAATCTTCTGAATCCGTATTCCAAGAATCCATCTTTCACAGTGAAAAAAAGCTCAAACTTAGAGTAAAAACAACGGGTAGGAACACCATTTCCGGCAGAAGAAACCTCTGTGCTCTTTCATCAAAAATCGTCCAGGTTAAGAGGAATCAGCTCTGCTATAAAGCGTAGGACTATAAAAAAAGAGGAAATTTAGAAAATCTTTCATAAACCACAATAGTATCTTCTTTTTAAAGAAAAGGTTAAAAATAAAGTTCAAGGGATGATTTGATGTCCTAAATGGGCAGCAAATCCAAAACCCAAACATATGTTCCTGATTCAGCGGGAGCAAATTCAATTCAGCTGAAGTGCCACCACTATCTGACAATCACTGTCTGTGTGAGCTGTGAACTCCCAGAGATAGAGCGACCTATTTCAATGAACCAAGGCGACAATCCCTCTTCATGCCGTCTCCACTGCCTCCACTTTCCCCTGTCCAAACACACAGGCACGGACTCCCCCACCACCACCCAACCCATTCCTTGTGTGCTCTCAAACACACCAATTCTAGCTCACACTTTCTGCTGACCCCACTGAAAAAAGGTCACAGCTGGTGAGGGGAACAGATTCTGAAATGTGAGGATGTGACGGTGAAGAACCGACTGGAGGGGGGGGGTTGCCAGTCTTTGTCAGGGGTAAAGGATACATCAACAGTGTACCACTGAGACAGGTCAGCTAGCACACTGCCTACTCTGGTGTATTCACCTCTGATAAGCTTCTGTGACCTGCATCCAGGCTCCTAACACAATACTCTGCTGAGCCCGGGTCTCCTAACACTATTAACATCTCTATAAAAAAGCTCCAACCAAATAAATCACAGAATAAATTCTATTTAAAAGAAACTCTATACAGCATGTGGGTTTTCTAACCTCTCTGATGTAAATAGTTTAATCCCACTTTAAGCCACAGGTGGAACTAGGTTTCTCATTAACATAATAAGATCCAGTGCTAAATGAAAGGGCTTTTTTTTTTTTTAGCACTTAAGATGTCTTACCTGCATTTCTGCATTGGGGAGACAAAATATGGCTCATGCCTTTTGAGGTATTCATGCAGGAACTGAAATAATGTGATCAAAATTCCACGCATCCCCTCCTTTCACCTCCACACACACATACAAACACACACACACACCCAGCTGTGTTTTCATGACATATGGGGAAATTTCATTGACATTCATTCATTTTATACGGCCTAACCCTAACCCCAACTCACAGGACAGAACTTTACCATATGGGGACCAATTGAATGTCCCCATATGTAGCTGTAAGTCCCCACATGAAGGATATTTTACAAAATACTTCCCCCACATTGTAGATAAAACAATATGTAGGTAAAACACGTTCACACTTGTAAAAATGACCAACAATTCCATCCACGACCGGTTATGCAAATTATTGTTTTCAAAAACTAAAACGTGATAAAGCAAACCAACGTAGCACATGGGACTATCCTAAAATTGTGTTCATGTGAGCATGAAGCATCCCGAGAAGACTATAAGAGGTTCATATTACTGCAAGATTTTTTTCTTTTTTTACACCTGTCCCCTGCTGCTCAAATGTAGCTGAGGAAAACAACTCTGGATCGCCCTGGCACTGATGCTGACAAAGTTCTTTATGAAATATAATCCTGAAACAATATCTGTCACTGTGATTCATTTGGGCACTACTGAGTCTAAGTCAACCTCAGTGGCTTTAGACCTGTTCATTGAAATGAACTGGGAAGGTGACGAACACAGTTGCACAAGAACCCAGAACATTAAAAACAGCTGTGTGCTGTATCTGAAATGCCCTTTAAAGTCAAACAGGAGCTTGTGGTGTGAATTTCCATGCATGGTTGTGATAAACATGATAATTGGACAGTGATCTGGTGTCCTGAAAAAAGGGTTGTGAAAATAATGTACGCTCAAAAGCTGTAGGGTGAAGGTTGAGCTGGGATTAAAGCAAAAAAGAAGTTGTTGATTTTTTTCTAGAATCTATACACCATATGTAAAGTAAAAGGTCAGACAACCTTTTAATAGCTTTACTTTTTATTCTTTACTTTTCCACATTCATCGAATCTGTTCCAGCTCGCTTATTTGTGAATACACTGCTCTTGTCCCTATGTATAACTGTTTTTATGTTCCTGTATTTGTATTTTTTGTATTTTCATTTTTATTTTCTGTAAAGTGACCTTGAGTGTCCAGAAAGACGCTGTTAAATAAAATGTATTATTATTATTATTAATAGAGCATTTTCAATTCATACTGCATAAATGAATGAATAAAGACAAATTTCTGGCAAAAAAAAATGTAAAGTAACTTTGCTAAAAGTTGGTTAAAATGCTGCAATCTTTAATCAGATTCCAGCAACACAAAGATAATCCCCTTCATAAATTTAAAGGAGGGTTTTAAGTGTAATTCTAATACAGTCTTAGTAAAGCTTCAGGTATGTGTTATTATGCTGCAATGGTATGTAGTGGGAAAAAGGTATTTAACTTCTGCAAAGAACAGCTAAGTAAACAAATGTCTTCAGCACTCTTAAATATTTAGTATGTGGTATAATAAGAATGTTTAACATCCAAGAGTAACGGACAGATACATAAAGCAGGAATGAAAATAAAACGGTTTTGTTAAGAGTAGAAAGAAGAAGTTAGGACTGTGATTTATAAGATGGAATGAAGTGAAAAGAAAAACATCATCCTGTACAGCTATGCTTCCATGTTTAAGAAATGCATTTTGTGCAAGAAGCAAATTGTGCATGCACATCCTTACTGCTGAAAAAAATAATAGATTCAGTCTAAAGCTGTCCTATTGTCCAATGCAATACATTCTATTAGTAGGTTTTTTCATAAAAAAAAAGCAAAATTGGCAGAGCAGCAAAAACGATCACTGCAATTTGTCTGATATTGATTTAAGCCAAAATTCTGCAAAACTGTTCCACTGAGAAGCAACAAAATATAGATGAACATCAACTGATCAGATATGACAAAATTAAACTTTACATTCTTTCCTTCTGATTTTCAATTTCTTTCATTTTAGGTTGGTCAAGCATTCAAAAACAGTAAAATATTTATTGTGATTTGAATTTTTAATCATAACCACCTCACAAGACTGGAATCTATACATTTTTAGAAGGAATTTATATTTTGTTTAGCTTTCTTAAGTTTCAGGTTTATTCAACCCTGAGGTATGAATTTATGTATCCAAAAAATAATAGTATGGCGGACAGAGGCACCATACCAGTGTTTCACCCTGGCTACGGGTGATAATGAATAACATTGCTATTGTTGGTCTGGCGGTAATCTGACATTGCGTTTCAGTCATTAAGATCAGCAGACAGAGCCAGTATTCACTCAGTGGATGAGTTGAGAGCAAAAACTGATTGAAGTGCCGTCAAACCCATTCTGCAGCCAAAACCTCACTCTTCTCCCTGACAGAAAGCATGAACCATTACATAAGCTGTAAGTTATTTCAAAACAGCACATCAGTCTAAAAGCATTTCATTTCCTGGAACGTGCATCTATTGGGACGTACTTACTGTATATTTAGTGATGTCCATTCAGGGATATACATAGAAATTCTCAGGAGAGAGTGTGCAATTGAATATACGCATCCCACACTAGCATGAATGCAAAGTTTAACTACTTAAAGGAAGGAGAGCAGACTTTGATTTGTAAATTTGTTGTTCTCGCAGATCAAAGAAAACATCTTCACAAAGACAGAAAGCTGATGAATAGGGGCTATTATGAGGGAGACAACACATACAGTTAACAGCCAATTACCAGGATGACCCTTTGGAAGAGCCCTCTGATCAAAAGCCTTTTGCAAAGACGGACAGCATCTCCAGCATTTAAATGTTCGAGACACGCTTATCTTACAAAGGTTAGGTTGAATAAGCTTCTCTCAACCAAGACACTCCACAACAAAACAACGTTTACCACAATAAGATGATCACAACTTCAACGATGTTCGGATAGAAAAGGCACTTTATATACAAGTTGTATGATTTCCTTCATTAAGGGGAGCTCTTAGGATGCGTTGAAACGCTGGCAGTTAAAGACAACAGTTTATTATTTTTTTGCTTTTGTTAGTTAGACTTTACACATGTGGTACATCACAATCACATTTATTAAATAAGAGATGCATAGTGATAAGCCAGATATTAAATCTCCTATGTATTTAGACTGTATTTCTGTATTAAACAGTTTTTTTTATTGGTATGGTATAAAATTCCAGTCGTACATGGTATGTTTCAATTTGCTCTAAAGAAGCAAATGGAAAAATTTGCTTCCACGGAAAATAATTATGATTAAAATAAAATATGTAACTAATCTATACTATTTACTTTACTTTGTAAATTGAGTCACTGAAATTAACTTAATAATGAACTAACTTATTCAATAATGAACTAAAAAGTAGATATTAACATACACAATATAATGACAAATCCTTTACACTGATATTAAATCATCAGCTTCCTGCATTTGTTGAATACTAGAATTATGACAGATGCTTTTCCCCCAACTATTTACTTAAAAACAAAGCAAGAAAACAAGACTGCATTTACAAAAAAAACTTCTGTCCTTTTTTGTGCCCTATAGTTTATTTAACTTAAAATCAGTGCATTTGGTCATATTAGGCATAAATAAAGGTACTACTAAAGAAGAAACAATTGCAAACCTGAAAACTTCTTAACAATAAAGTACAAAAGTGGCTGCATTATGATGTGTATGTTTTCTGCTGCAAGAGGGATTGGTGTAT